TGCTGCTGCTGCTGCTGCTGCTCGAGTTTAAACGAGGCGTAGGCTCCGTGCTGGATCTCGGGCAAAATCCTCGGTGGACTGAGGATTTGGGTGCCGCCAAGGTGGCCAGATCCGAGGAGACGCGGGAGTGCTGTAAAGGGCATTACCGCGCTAGAGTTGAACTGTCCCAAGGGGCCTTTCTTTATGCTTCGTGTGCTCCGATTTGGAGGTGGACCGTGAGAGTTCATTGTGCTGATCTGCTGGCTGTCTCTAAATCCCAAGTCTGAGTCTGGGTTTTCAGTTTTCCGGAGTGACCGACCGTGCTGTGTAGTCGATGCGAGTTGGACACCAAAAATTGATGCCAAAAGCCTTTCAAAGTGCTTCGCCTGTGGGGAACTATCCACCATCGGAATTTTCGTACAGTTAAATCTTGATGTGGGAGAGTCTTACAAAGCCCGAATTCGCGCAGGAGGCTCCCAAGGGCGAGGTGGCCTGTTGCAGTTGGAAAGATCCGTCAGTCACGTGGGCGTGATCTGCATGTTTGGGAGTTTGCGGAGCAGGTTGCTGCCCCAGAGACAGCCTCCGTAAGACGACGCAACGAGGCCTGGCATGCCAGACTTGCACAGTATCTGCTCTTGTCCTTCGAGTTGGAGTGCTTGCGAGGCGCATCAGGCAGACGCTACAAAAGCTGCTGGACTTGGCGCGACAGAGGCGACAACGGTGGGAGCATTTTTGGATTGATCTATTCACCATCCGAGCCCATATAGTGTCACAGCCGTCACCCAGGCCAGCGAGAAGTCTGTGTTGGAAAGCGCCTTCGGACTGGAGCCCGGCTCCTATATGTGAGACCATGAACGCAGTGTGAGCATGGGTAGGGTGCAATCGCAGTCACTCAGGCTATGGCGGCAAACGGAGGAGGTACACGCACTGTGTAAGTTGTTGAAGACTCTAGTTCTGACGCCCTTCGTTTGCGAGGACAAATTCCGGGCGTACTTGGCAGAGCAGGAAGCTGACCTGAAAGCAACTCGACCTCAGTGTTGAGATGCGTTGGCCGAAACTTTAAATCTTAAACCCTAAGCGGATCAGTGGAGGCCCGCCTGGAGGAGGAGTATCGACAGCGGGAGGACGATCTCGTTTTTGTTGTATTCCGGTGTAGGAAAGTTCGTGAACTCAGGGCAAGCATAAAGGCGGAGACTTGCACCAGACACTTTCGAGCAGGAGGTGCGTGCTGCCGAATTTTCCCAGCGGCAGGCTCATGCACTTCCTTTCGAGGATTGTGGGTGCCACTTCGCCAAGTGGGTTAGATCTCAGAATCTGAGAGCTTTGAGGTGGGTTTTCTTCATCATGCAGCAACGTGTTTTGCATTTCGTTATCTGTATTTGTGTGTGCCTGCAAATCGCTACAGTTCTCACTCTCGTCAACTTGAGACCGGAGATAAGTTCATATATCAAAACTAGCACTTCCATGACGACGAGTGCATGCTTTCAGCCAAATTGCGAAACAACATGCTGTAAACTTTAGATGTGAGCTGCAGGAACGCTCCAGGCCAAGTAGTGATCATCACAGGATAAGCGCTCTGTGTATCCCTCACTCCCTCACATCCCGATATGTAGGCAGGAATCGGTTTCGGATGATTTTGAAGTCGTCTGCATTTGAGCCCACTGCTTTGTCATTCAGGTGTCATTTTCAGCTGCATGGGACGTGTTTCCATTTGCATACCTCGTTTGGGTTGCCCTTCATTGAATGTCGAGGTGCTTGGTGTGAAGGGTTGTTGGTCGGGAATCGGATTTGAAGCTGCTAGTTTCTGGCGCAGGCCAAGATCCAGCACGTGGAAGCCACGGTCAGGAGGAAGCTTCAGGTGATGTGCCTAGCACGAGCCAGCAGTTTGGTTGATGGAACGACGTTTCCACCATTCTCAGGAACTTCAACAGAAGGAGCTTTCCATCACCTCGGAGGAAGCACGTGTGTCAGCCTCGTCTTTCAAGGATTCGGGGTGGGGTTGATTCCGGAGGGCCCCTGTTTGTTTTTGGGAGGGCACGCCCTGCATGTAAAGAGAGAAGGAAGGAAGAACGGAGGAGGAAGGAAGGAAGAAAGGAAGGAAGATAGAAGGGAAGACAGGCAGGAAGGAAGGACGGACGACAAAGCAAGCGGATGGGTGCAACAAGCTAAGCAGAATCAAACAGCTGTTCAGGATCAAGAATGATCTCAGGATCAAAAAGCCAACTCTTGCAAGAGCAAAACAGAACCGAAGGAACACATGCAGAAAGACAGCATGCAAGCGAGAAAAACAACAATACCCATCCACAAACTTAAATGAAGACAAAAACGCATCTCGACTGCAAGAAGGATAAGAACTCGCATAAAGCTGCCGGGAAAGATAAAACACGACCGCTGCGACTGCACCTGCTGCTGCTGCTGCTGCT